AATGTATTAGATATATATTTTAATCCCCGACGAAAGTAGATAGGATCTTATATGATTGATATCTATGTTCGTATATGTTTGTTGATTATTAAATTTTGATGTTTTTTTTTATTAAAAACATAGGCTTTTAATAAAAAAAAACATCAAATTTTTCTAGCTTCATTTGACCGAAATCGATATTGCTATTTTTTATTAATTTTTTTAAAAATGTTTTTTAATTTTAACTCTATTGTATTAGAATCATAAAACTTAGCAAGAAGTTATACTACAAGAAAAAGAAAAAACCCGAAAACCGTAAATTTATAGTTACATCACCAAAAAAATAATTTCTTAATTGTAACACGTTGCAATTATAGGTTTTAGGGGGATAATTTTGCAAGGAAACTGAAAACATACTTTGAAAAAGCGGTAAAATATCGCATTTACTTCTTAATAAGATTTTTTAACGTTTTCCTTGAATAAATTACGACCCCACCCAAGGTAATTGTTAAATCCAAAGATGTTATGATACGGATATACGGATCCGATAGTCTTGGTTGCATATGTTAGATTAATTGTAAAGATAATCCCACAAGAATGATTGAATGAATGAATAAAATGACTAAGTGATAGGAGTCTGATTTAGGCTAAGCTCCGCCTATTCGAAATTATTCGAATCTTTTATACCCGATTCAATTATGGTCTCATGATCTAAAATGACTTAGCGATAGAAGTCTCATTTAGACTCAGCTCCACCTATTCTAAATGATTCGAAACTTGTATCAGATTCAATTATGATTTCGGATAGATTTTTATTTCGGATATCCGATAGTTTAGGTTACGGTTAACATTCCTAATTGGATCCACGCGAAGAACGATGGTAAAATCTTATTTTAACAAGGAGTAAATACGATTTCGTACACCTAAAATAAAAAAAAAATATCGTACTTTCCGTAGGGCTATGTTAAAAAGTGTTTTAATTACCTGACAACTGNATAATATCTTTTATTTCTCTCCATTTAACGACCACTGTTTATAACGCCGAAAAATGTTCAGTCCCTTAAGTGTCGTTATATAGAGTTTACACTGTATATAAATTCCTTAACGGAATTCCTTTCATAGCATCGACATATCCACTAATGCTGTCACCTTCTTATAATGTTAGACGAGAAGTGGCGATTTAAGCATTCAAAAATAGGTGAAGAGTTACAAATACTCAAAAAAAAAGAAGACATGAAACTCGGTCGAACATTACAAATATTTTAATTTATCCTTAGGCATACTACTACTGACATACACCTACAAAGAGCTTATAGATGCAGTAGACGGGTTGATATACCGCTATCTCTTCCCTATTCGTCGGACGGGTGGTAGAGCTAAACCTGCACATTATACCTACTAACGTCAGCGTGACAACTAGCAGACATGCGACGACCACGCGCCGTACTCTTCACTTGGTCTTTAAATACATCTAATGTGGTGCCTACAAATAATTCATTAATTTTGGCATCTATTTATATCGTAGATATAATAATACAGTAGGAGAATATCCACTACTATTTGAATAAGGAGTTAGTCAATTTGTTCAATATTCATCTTGCTTCATCCCTACGTTCTACTGTACTAATTTTGATTCTCAATCAGTTTTATCATGCATTGGATAATTAGTTTCAAACAAATAAAAAAAGATCTAATCCAATTTGTATTAAAAAGTGGGGGAGAAGGTCCAGTAAATTCTCAAATCTACTTAACTGTAACGAGAAGTCATTAAAAATCGCACGTCAGCTTTTTAATTCAAAGAACCTATTAATAGTATTAAAAAGACCAATCAATAAACAGGGCAAATCACACGCGAGGAGGAGAAGGGGGTACCACCACATCTTATTAAATCTCAGCTTGGGGAAGGAAGGGTTCAATTAAATAATATCTGTGGACACTATCAACGCAAGATGCAAGAAATTACATTCTTGTTATCAGCTAATTTTGAAGGGTACATTATTACTGTTCGTTTCAAGAAGTTAGAGATATGCCCTTCCCTTTATTAGGATGCGCCGTAGCATAATTCCAAATTCAATCATATTTGTCTGCGGAGCTCATTTCTCCACCGATCATCGAGCGAGAACTAGACATAAGTCTACAGTACCATTTGAAAAATTATTTAAACTGCCTCGTTAAAATTTAAGAATATGCTTTATTTAAAAGCATATTTAGCCAAAAATAATAACAAATGAATTAACTTAACGCTCTACACACCTATAAAACTTTTGCTTTGTATTCTATTGTTAATTTATATACATTTTTGTTTTAAGAAATTGCTAAACATTTTCGTCTAGTACTGTACAGTTGTATCCAATCTCCTAAGACCGCTCATCAAGAGCTCTGCTCGTTCAAGCTTGTTCCAACTATTTCTGTCTTGCTCACACCTAGTGTGCATTCTTTCTATCTTCGCGCAGATTTCTTCAAGGTCACAATTCTAACAAATTGAAATAGACTGTATATAGTTTTTCGTTTGTTTTTTTGTTAAACCAATTCTGTATTTACTTTTCCGGATAATCTTTATTCCTCCTAAGACCATTACAGTAATGCCTATCGACTGATTTTCTTTTATTTTCAGACTGACAACGCCAACGATCCAAATGATACTGATGCTCGTCTTGATGATGAATGCGAAAAAGTATTCGCAATGGATTCGGACGTCGATCGTTTCGATGTCGCAAAACTGGTGGACACCCCTTCATCCGTGGACACCGCGTACCCTAAAGTACCTGAGGAAGATTACGAATGTAAGTTACCCTTAATTTTCACAAACAATTACTATCAACAGGGCGCAAGGTCAACTATAAAATGATAATTTGTGGACGTGAATCACGCTTGCTGCCTTTAAACAGTTCATTGATGTTTGACAAGTTTTCATTAAGATTAAGAATATCGACTTGTTTCTAATAAGTCAAAAAGTCTCACAATGTAACTATTACTGAAAAGCAAGGAAAATAGTAATTCACTTGTATTCGAAAATCAAAAAAAAATTACCTCGCAACTCACTGAAGCGGAAATAAGTGCAGTTGTCTCCTCTGATGATACGATATGTAGGTCTACTTTCGATATCCGCGATGATGTCATTTAATCGGAATTTTTAATTGAAAATCGATAATTATAATAAAGTATTGGGGGTGCTTCAATGTCAATATTCGGCCATAAATAAAATATAATCGGCATTCACTATTTTAACTAACGTTTTTAAGTATGTTTGGGAGGTATGTCAGAATGCTACGAGACAAATAAAAATTTGTAAGAACGTTCCTCATTGAATTCTAAAACTCCTGTAAAAATTACAAATCGATTCACTAAACCGTTAAAAAGTTATTGAAATTTTAAAAAATTGTAATTTTACACGTCATTTTATGGAGATTCGTTAACCGAACAGATTAAATTTATTTTTATTAACAGAAAAAAAGCTACCAGAAATTTCAAACTTTTATAA